GAATCAATTATGTTTGTTCAAATTTCTGTGAATTGTTCATCTCACCATGCGCAGGTGCTTTTAATTATTATCGTTAAGGACGCATGTTAAATTGATCATCTCAGCAGGTGCTTTTAATTATTATCGTTAAGAACGCATGTTAAATTGATCATCTCAGCACGTCCTTTAAAAATAATTCAAACGCGTAGGCGTCGGAACCGGTGGGCGGGAGGGGGGGGGGGGCTTAGCCCCCAACTTTTTTTATTAAAGATGGGCATGCATAGAAAAGTGGGTCTTACTAGTACTTTTTTTGTCCCCCCCCCTTCTACTTTCAATTTACTTCTGACGCCCATGAAACGTGAAAACTTTCAACGATTACATGTGAATCTTTATTGTTTTAAAACCAAGGTTTTGGGAATTTTCCCACCCCATGAGAAACTCACAATACCCTGGACTCGCTTGTGACGCAGGCGCCCCAAGATCACTTGCCTCACTATAAGCTTGAGCCTAGTTACGGCCTTGCGGAAGAATTGTTAAAGAATATTCCACAACTGCTGTGAAATTTTGTTGGCAAATAAAAACGTAGCCTTTTTTCTTTAAAAAAAAATATTCAAATAAAACCATAAGACTTTAAAATTAAGTTAAAAAGAAAGACTGGTCCCTCAGCCCTTACAAACTTTTTTTTCAGTAAAAATGTAGTGTCTATGGCTGCTAAACTAATGCTTGGCATTTTATGTGAAGAATTGAAAATATATATAGGAGTATGTAAAGAAATGTTGTAACTGTAAATAGAAGTAACTTTTCTCTTTTTTCATTTAATAAATTAAAAAATGTTTCCATAAATATACAATGAATAGTCAAAAAGTTGCAAATGTAAACTGTACATCTAAAAGTTTAAGGCTATGTGATTGAAATCATTTTGATTATAAAATTGTGAAAAGTATTTATGTGTCCATTGTATAGAAAATTTAGGCAGTCAGTTTCAAAAGTTATTTAAGGAATAACTGTCAAGTTAGTAGAGTATGCTAGGACATCAACGATAGTTCAAAATGTGGGATAATTTGCATAACGAGTGAAGCTAACTAAGAAGACAGTGATTCATTATATTTCCTTTTCATTGTGAAATAAAACTTTAAATTTAGATTTTAAAAATATAAACAACTAGATTCAAATTACATGAGGCCACCCGTGTCAATTTCAATAGCCCCACCTATTGACGTCAAACATAAAAAAAAGCCGCACAAGATTTATATGCATATTGGACCTCCGTAGCGTCAGACACAAAGACAGATGCACAAGTTGGAAATATTTGAATGTTAATACTAGCCGAAGGTACCTTAGATTGTTGATGTACAGATATACAAGTATCATTTTGCAATGCTTGATACAGCATTTGGGTTTAGGCATTTACAATCTATGTCAATTCAACAAAAATTATTTTCATGTATCAATAATTTAATTCTGGTTGTAACGTTGTATTTGATTGGATAAAAAATTTACTTTATATCGTATAAAATGACTTGCATCAAAAACGTATCAATCTGCCTGACGTTACATTCAAATTTTGTACAAATTGAAGTCATTTTGTTAGAACAATAATTTTTTTTCTTACATCTATTGAATGAAAATTAAATTATAAGCAATGAATTTAATAGCTACCAATTTTATACGGTATAAACTGGGTTGAAACAGTTTACGCTTTTTTATAAACTGCTTTGCGGTTTATAAAGCATAAACTGCCCCAACCCAGTTTATACCGTATAAAATGGGTAGCCATTATATTCATTCCTTAAATAACATATGAGTTAAATTTGAATATTTTCTGGTACACACATGTATGTTGATGTAGCTTGTAAATGAAACACTTCTAGCATGTTTTTTTTTCCTTGTCTTCTCTGTTAGTACTAAGGAAAAACATGTTTTTGAACTAATATTATTACATTCCACTTAAATAAAGCTCAGTAAGTAAAATTTTTATATCTATCATAATCCATAAAAATTTTAAATACAAGTATTTCTAATTCTTCTGCATTCTACACAGGGAATCTTCAGTTGAACATGAATTCCATCTTCTTTAATATTAAATGAAAAAACCCATTAATTCCACTAAGAAAAATGAGATTGCAATGCAAATCTAATTTTTTGGTTTGATATTTTTTCCCCTATGTCTTCCAATTTTTTAAAAAATCTAAATATTTGGCAATGCATGGTTTTTTTTTTATTTATTTTGGTAAACAATTTATCCCCCCCCCCCTTCAGAAGCAGACTGTTAGTGAAAATTGCATTGTTTACATTTGATTTCCAGGTAATTATTAATTTTAAAAACTGTAAACAATTTTTTAACTTCAATATTAATGTACTCTGTAAACCATTGGGGTGGGTGTTATCTTGTTACCTACATTGCTTCTTTTTTCACAAGTCGCAAATAACAAAAAAAAAAAAAAAAAAAAAAGATTCAAAGCATTTTAATTTTCTAAAGTGGTTTTGTTAAATTATATTATAAAACATGTACATTTGTCACTGTATATTTATAGATTATATAACTACATAAAAGTCCAGTAAATACTGCAGTATTCCAACAGCTAGGGGTAACCCTGGTATTTATTATTTGAAAGAATTTTGCTCAATTATAAGGTATGACTAGAGGCTAACTGGCTTTCGACCCTTCAAGGTCTTCCAGGGTTTCAGTTTCCAGTTTTTGTAGCTATGAAATGCCTTGGAGTTGTAAAAAGCGTCTTTGAAGGAAAGTAGGTTGCTCCGCCCCCCATCATCAATAGAACCTCATTTTCATAATATTTACTTTGTGTGATTTCTTGAAGAAAAAAAAATTAGAGCAAGTTATTATAAAGTGAGTATATTGTTTCTCCAAGGATGAATCCAGGATATGTCTTTGTACTCTCATGTCAACAGAACTTGTGTATTTTTTTCTCATATTCCCATTTATAGATTTTTTTTTAATTAAAAAAATAACTAAATAAGACACTTCAACCTTGTTATTTTGATTTTAAAAGTTGTCCATATAATTTTGAGGCGATATGCGCAAATACAAATCGATAAAAATAACATAATTGCAGAATTATTAAGAACAGGTGCGTGTGATGGATTTTGATCCGCTCCCCGGTTGAAACAAAAATGGCGTCGTACTGCAGACGCTTCGTACTGACGGTACTCATTGTAATTTTCGTGAAATTCTGCAAGTAGAAATATTATCTTGGATAATTTCGTGTAGTATCGATGCATACAGGAAAATATTCATTCGATTTTCACCAAAACATGACTGATTCTGTCAGGAAAGTGGAATTCTACGACTGCTTTTTTGTGCGTTTTCAAAGACTTGAAATATCACCGGTGAGTTTATTAATCCTAAACAACTTTTTCTTTCTCCGAGACGATTGGTGGTTTGAAAAAAATGTGTAATTTATTTATCTTGCGAAAAAATTACAAATAACTACCGTTTGACAGATTTTTAAACGTAAAATCGAAAATCGGCAATAATGGGTACTCGGCAATAATGGGTACTCGCACGTTATATTAAATCAAGGTAATGATGTGGTATTGTTCATGTATTAATAGAATTTGGTTCTGAAAGAAAGTTGGATATTCTTTCCCCTATGAAATAAGATTTCTTTCATTCTCTCTCTTTTTTGCTTTCAATTTTTTAGGTATTTTTTTCTCTGACTCTCCCCCCCCCCTCCCCTTTCAAAATCGATATGCATGATGCCTGTAATCTTTCTCTTGTGACAGATTCCCATCGCAACCGTTTAATATGATCCACAGCACATATTCAATTTTATTCATTTAATTAAAAAAAGTTATATCCAGGGACTGATCTTGCATTTTCTAGGCGACGGTGGGTAACATTACCACTCTACCCCACCCACCTTACTTGCCAAATACGGTATCACAAAATGGCTGGGGAAAAAGTATGCATGGGTCAAGAATATTTTAAGTGGGTCGCTAGGCTATGGCAAACTAACAACTTTTTAAGGCAAATTTTTCTTCCTTTGCTAAACCTATAAATTAAAATCACTTTCAGAAAATAATTGGAAATTGCATATGCCATCCAAACAGCTTCTGGAAATCATGGCCAATCTAATGATTAACAAAACATTTCCTTGTTTCACAATATTTATTCCAATATGTACATGCTTCACATTTTGACTTCACATTACATTACAACATGGGAATCCCTGTCTCTCTCAACATAACTGTACATGGTCACTGGTCTCTATGACTGACAGACACAAACTTCTTCCATATAATTTTAAACAACCAAATTATTATGTGTTACTGTTGAAAGCTGTTTATTTTTATACAACTAATGATAGAGTTTGTAACTTTTATGTTCACATTCCACATTCCCCTCCATGAATTCTCTTTCATTCAAAGCCCTGTCTGATAAATTCAAGTACATTCAGCTTTTGATGTTACAGTAACTGCTGAAGGCGTTAACTTCCCACAGTCTGACTAAATTTCCAGCAATTGATGAACACTGTATATATACCTACACTATAACTAGTTCAGAATTCTTACTCATCCTAAACTAGTTCTCATCCTGAATTGGTACTCATCCTAAACTAGTTCTCATCCTGAATTGGTACTCATCCAAAACTAGTTCTCATCCTGAATTGGTACTCATCATAAACTAGTTCTCATTATGAACTGGTACTCATTGTTCTTAACTGGTTCTCATCCTTAACTTTTGGACTTTGTAAGATGGACACTTGCACAGTTGAGGTGGTATTTGGTCATGAATAAAAATTTATCCAAACAAAAATGCAGCATGCACTGTTTTTTTCCACAAAACATACTGTGATGCATGTACTATTCTCAGAGAGTTTTTAAGGCATTCTTAAGGAACTCCTATTTTGTTTTCAATGCTTTTTCAAGTCACTTTCAGATTTCACACCCCTTCAATAGTTGGCACACAAGCTCTTTACTGAATTTCAAATACATGTACAAATAATTTCCAAATTCTCCAAACATTCGGTAAGAATTTAAATTCTTTTGCAGGAAATAGGAGTCCAATTTAACAATACTGTCTTTTCCTCCTTCGATGCTTGTGTTAAGAAAAATTCACATTTTTATATTTCTTAGTGCAATTTCAATTCCAAGAGGCGTCCATTAGAAATAATAGTTAAGTGAATGACAGAAATATTTCAATTTCTTATCAAAATTCTTCGAATATTGCACTGGAAATGACATCACTGCAGTAATTTTTTCTTTACTATCTCGTACACCATTCTCTTCCGGAAGTATGGCATGTGTCCCTGAAATTCATAAGATGCAAGTCATATTTCTGTTTCCAGAAAAAAGTACATGTATAAATTTAACCCCTTTAAGAAATTTTGATAAACTTTAAGAAACATTTTTTCACCTTAAGTATGTTTTTATTTTCATTATACATACCTGTGACATTTCATGCATAGAGTCCATTACAGAACTAGAGATATTTCAAAATAAAAATTTGACTTAAGGGGATGAAGGATGTATGGTCACGTGACTCAGTTGATTTACGTCATAATCTCTGATAAAATATGTACAAAATGAGATTGAAACCACAGTACTTGTATAATTTTTTTGACTGTTTGTTTGCGTTCACTATCTAGTATAAAAATATCTGAAAACATTCAAAATTTCTTGCAAATATTATCAAATTACGGAATAGATTAATCCACTCTGCCGTTTCCCTACTCTGCGCGTCCAGTACGTCTTTGACGTCATAGTGGATCTCTTAGTTCAGTAAGATCATACACGGTAAAAACGGGTAGTATAAAATCATAAAAACGGGCCATAATATGTACATGGTAGGGTATTTTGTCAATTTCAGAACGCAAAAAATATTTTTACATGGTTGTTGACGGAAAAGTTCTGTGGGTTTGTCTTATTTCGCTTATTTCAGGAATGTGTGACGTCATAGTTGGGTTTTCCCGTACTCGAGAAATGTAAACATGACACGTTTTTCTCATGATCATGACTCATTTAACTTTGCCCCGTGCAATATTGAGCTCAGCTTCACCAATCGATATTTTTACAGTTAATCAATACAATGACGACCTTGAACTTCGACGTAAATTTTCAAATATTGAATGATAGGATTTTTTGCAAATTAATTTTTTTATGGCTTAAGTTGTCCTAAAAAAGTCGTAAATTTCCGTCTCCAGATGTGGTGTTACAAAAGAATCTTGCTTTTTCGAATTTTTAACCCTATTCATACTCTAAAATATTTTAAAAGACACATTTCCGCTGGTATATTTTTTATCTATGGTGAAAAATTTCAATTATCGACCGAGTAATGGACCCAGAAACACGGAGAATAAAAACTCCGCGCAGACACTGTGGGTATGGTATTTGTCACTCAATATCTCAGAAATAAGTCTAGAAACCTATTGAT